CCAATGTAATTCCTAACCCAAACATCTGAGGTGGAATCTGCTTTGTAAAGTATCTACAGATTATTCTAATTACACATTTCCTCTCCTGGACTGAGAACTGCTCTAATTGCTCTCATAATATCAGTTGCTTCTGATATTTTCTATATTTTTACTGAAACTACATATAAATCAGCAGTGGTACCAAGTAAGTAAAACATACATAAGCTGAGCATATTGTTTCTAGCTAGAAATAATATAAAACCAAACTGAAAGTGTATGCTATAAAGTCAAGTAGCATTAGCTACAGCTCACAGACTACATTCGAATCCCAGAGGGGGGGTGCTCTAGCCAATAGGGTGAACACTGCCTCTTCACCTTCTTCCTGTACATCAGCCAAAGCTCATCAGCTCAGCCTTGTCCTGATAGTTTCAAGATTGCTGTGACAGATACCATATGCAATGTGGTGTCATCCAGAGGAAGAACGATGCTTCTTCTTGGGAACTTCTTTTTTTAAAAAAAATATGTCACTTAAGAATATCATTCAACAAGCCTCTGTCAAATTTGTCATTGTCAACACTGGACAACAAGCAAGGCCCCAGCCAGTCCCTGGCAAGAGAGACCCCTGATTGTCTCAACCAATCCTGACTTTTTACCTTCACTCAACTTACTGAGAGACCAATGACAGGCAGAGATCCTGATTTAATTTAAGAAGGTTGGGACCTCACACCAGATTTGTTTGTGCTCTCCAAGGGCCCCAGGTTGTGTGAAGGCCACATGATTCAGCACCCAGATTGCAATTTTCAATGCCTGACACCTGATAACACAGCAGAAATAGCTGAACGAAAGCAGCCTTGTGTTAAGAAGGTAAAAGGGGAAAAATGGACATGTGGAGCTGCAGAGATGGCTCAGCAGTTAAGAGCTGGTTGGTCTTGCAGAGGACCTGGGTTCAGTTCCCAGCACCCACATGGTAGCTATCAACTGTCCATAACTCAAATTCCAGAGGATCCAGATGTGGCTAGCCTCTACAGGCATTGCATATACAGGTATACTTATATACATGCAGATAAAACACTCATACACATAAGAAAAAATATGTAAATAAATAAATAATTTTAAATTTTTAAAAATAAAAATGGGTATGCAGTGCCCCAAACAGTACACAGGCATTCTCAGTTGTTTCCTTAGATAATGTCTATGATGGAGTCGTGAGCAAGTGGTATTTTTCTAATTCTACAGAGAAAAAGTCCTTTTCATTTAAAGGACTGAAATTATATATATATACATATATATATATGTATATATATATATTCTGATAACTGAAAGCTTAAATATCCTAAAACTGCTAGAGTCTACTACTAGTTAGTCTTTTTCCAAATAAAAAATATCCCAATGTCCCAGTCTCCAAGTCAAAATCCAACTTCTAAATACTTGCTGAGAGGTTTGATGCTTGCTTTGGGCAACAGCAGATGAGCCATGGGTGCCGTATTGGTGCTGTCTAGGGGGAGCCCATATTTCCTCTTCAGGCTTCTTGTCAGGGTCGGAGAAGGCTCTAATGCTTAAAAACACTGGCATCAATGGGGGGGGCACGAGTGAGGGAGGGGGCCTAAAGTTGATTAAGATCTATTATGTGAAATGCACAAAAACTCAATAAAAGTATTAATAAAAACACTGACATCAAACTGGAGGGCAGTTATGACCATCCAATAGTGGCATGAAGGTTATGGTAGCAACCAATCACTTTCTCATTGGATTTAAGGTTCACTTCATAAGCTGGAACCCATACCTGACACTGATATCGGGCCTAGGAACGTGTGGCTGGACAGGCCACAGGCCATAGAAGAGAGACTAATACTATGATTCTGCTAAATAGATCTAGTATAAAACCAACTATTAATGACTTACTATTATCCATAGACTAAGTCATCTCTTAACTTTCATCAAAGAAACTTTTTTTTAAATATTTTTATTTTATATGTATGCTTGTATTGTCTGCATATATGTGAGTGCACCCATGTCATGCAATGCCTTGGAGGTCAGAAGAGGGCTTTGGATTCCCCTGGAACTGAGTTAAGGACGGTTCGTAGCCATCATGTGGGTGCTGGGAATCGAACCCGGGTCCTGTGCAAGAGCAGTCAGTGCTCTTAACATCTGAGCCAACTCTCCAGTACCCCAAAGAAACTTCTTTATGCAGTATTAGCACAGAGACCCACAACTGTCAAATATGCAGAGACTAAGAGACTGCAAAGTGATTATCCCTGAATTGGACACCTATATCAAACTTGAGCCCCAAAGTCTCAGCAATCATTGCGGAAGAGGGGGGAGAAAGGACTGTAGGAGCCTGCAGAGGTGAATGGCCATAAGGAAAAAGAGTTTTCCAGATAGCTGTTCAGTTGCTCATATGAACTCACAGCAATTGTGACAACATGGGCAAGTATCATATAAGCTTAAGTCAGACAAACTCCCAACATAGATGTGGGGAAGAAACCCCAACCCTACCTAAGGGACTGTTGGCAACCAATGACTGCTGGGAAGGCGAGAGTCAGTCTCTTTTAAGTGCATCTCTTGGTAGGTTGACCAGGTGCTAATGGATGGCTCCACACTGAAGGACACTGGGGACAAGAATTTGACTTTATAGATTTTTACATACATACATACAAATATACATACATATATAATAGAGTATGTGTAATTGGTCAGGGAGTGGTAAGTGGGGGGATAATCTAAATACATTCAAAATATATGAAATTTTCAAAAAAAATTCAAAAAGGAAAAAAAAAGCATTGAAGGGTGGATGTCGGGTTTGAACTTTTGGTGGGAATGGGAAAGTGAACTTTTGGCCAACAGGAAACACTTATCTTCTAAGCTTTAGTTCTTTCAGCTATAAGACTACAAAAGTAACAATAGCCTTTCCAAAGTTATAATGGACTTATTTAGATGAGCTGTTTTCAAACTGAGTCCACATAAGAATTCCTGGGAAAGATTGCTACAACATGAGTTGCTGGATGCCATTTCTGAAGATGTTGATCGTACTGGTCTCTGAGTAACCCATGAGTTTGTATCTCTACTCTGCCCCCAGGTGACACTGACCCTACTGGTCTAGAAACCAGACCGTGAGAGCCAATGACTAAGGTACTTAGCTCAGTTTTCAAACAGGAAGCAGCATCAAATGAGGCTCAGCTGTTACTTTGTGTTCTCTGTACACTTCACGGAGGTAGGCTTAGCATCACTGTGGCCATTTTACAGATGAATAAAAATGAAGACAGAAACACTTGAAATCGTGAAATAAAATCTCCTATTGTTAGCTGTGCAACTAACAATGGAAATTAGTTTTCTAAGGGCTAAAATCTATGTACAATGTTTACTCAGAGAAAATCTACATGATTTTGAAAACCATACATAAAATTTGAGCAATTTGAGCATTTCTTCTAACAGTTCAGTTAAAACTGAAAAGCAGTCTTTGTTAAATATCGTAAATCAGAATATATAAGACAAAAGGAAAAACTAGAACCACACCCAAAGTGACCAACTCATAGAGGACCACCATCCCATCCTGAGGTGGAGCCCGTTCCCCAGCTGCCTCCCACAATGGGTAGTTACCATGTGTCCAAACCAAAACTCAAGCACTTGGAGCTATTGTTTTCATTGACCAATATGTCATGATAGCTGTCTCACGGGAATAAACATACCTCCTCCCAACATAGTTATGCTCTTAGGAAGCTCTATAATTGGCTTAATCAACTGAATTGTCAGATGATTTCCAGCTTTTGCTTTTTTATGATCACTTCAATGAATACTCTTGGAGCACCATCATTCATTTCTACATTCTTAGAGAAGTTGTATCCCTGGAAAATAACCCCCAAACGGGATAACTGTCAAAATACATACATATTTTAAAGTTTTTGTAATATATTGCCAAATTGACCTTGAGAAAAGTACAAGTTTCCTACTCATAAGCACACAAATCCCCCTTTGGTAGTATACATTATCTCCTTTACTACTGATAGATTTTTCTCCAGCCAGACTCTAGTGTCTTTGTACTTCCAAACACAAACATACAAAAGACAGTACTACCGCATCCTTCAAAATTCTCTTTCCATGAAGAAAAGCAACAAGATTTGAGGACTGTGCAGCAAAGTTGATAGAGCTTTTTAAAAACCCTGATTGTCTCAAATTCCACCAATGCTATCTGCCTCCTCATTCCCACTAAAAATGATCAACTTTCCCAGTGGGCTGCGGGTTGCTCTCCTTCCTGTTCAGCAAACCATGTGTGCCCACATGCGCTCTCTAAGAGATGCTTGCATCACCCTCTTTGTGAGGTTGAGGAAATGAAGGCATATCTTTGCCTAGGATCACACAAGAAGTAGAAGTGAGATGTGAACTCATGTAGTCTCTTCAAAGTAAGAAAGAAAGAAAGCAAGAAAGCAAGAAAGCAAGAAAGCAAGAAAGCAAGAAAGCAAGAAAGCAAGAAAGCAAGAAAGCAAGAAAGAAAGAAAGAAAGAAAGAAAGAAAGAAAGAAAGAAAAGATGAGGCAAAGAGAAGGGAAAGCGGGGGGGTGCTTCCAAATACCAAATGGACAACTCTGATAATGTCAAGTGGGACAATAAAATATAGTTATACTTTCAGTTATCTTTCCTCCTAAGAGATCAAAGAAATTAAACTAGTATTTTCCAACATGAAGCTGGAAACACTCAATGCCCAACAGTTCCTGAAGCAAACTGGAGCCCTGAAAAGAAGAAAACCAGGCTTACTGGAACTCCACATCAGATGAATCATTTTAGGAGCCCCAGCCTACAGACAGAGCTGTTCATAAATTTATGGCCCAAAGAGGCAAACTAAATCACTAATGACTCTAAAGGACAAAACCTACTTTCTTGACCAGTTACATGCTTTCCAGGTCCAGAAATAGAACAAAATTGCATGGTTTAAAAGAAAAAAATCAGACAAGTGATTTTTATGTCTACAGCCAAATTCCTACAGGAGAATGCACAAGACTGCTCATTAATTCTGATGTGGAAAGGACATGGGGTGTGCTGAGCCAAGTGCTGCTAACCTTTGGGAAGTTGACTATATTTCTGAATAGAAGCACTTAATGAAAGAAAAGTAAATGAGTAAGTATCCCGGTGTTGATAATCCTGGACATGCATGCTGCCTGAGATTTGGGGTAAACTAATAGCATGATTCATTACACCATTTTACAGAATTATCAGCCCTTGCCATAAAGAAACTTCCGTCCAGAAATAGTAGATGTTGTGCCTTCTGATCTTGGGATTTGATCCCTCTGTCCCTTAGCATGTCTAAACATATTTTCCCCTCAAATACTGTCTCCCATCATTTTTTTTTTCAGAATTATGCTTTTTAAGTTGGAAATTATTTTCTACTGCTTCCTGACGTTCTGAAACTGCAGCTTTTACCTAATACCGGATGATATGGAGGTCGGGCAAGGTATGGTGGGCAAAATGAAATACACACTGTGTGACTTTGTGGTTGCTGTTTGTTTGTTCTGCCTCAAGTTTCTCCAGAATCTCCTTTCCTCTTAGAGCTGATTACAGAAGGATGTGAACATTTGACCAGGAGTGCTTGGAAAGGCAGGAAGTGCTCATGACTCTGTCTGACTTGCATGCATGCAGACTTCTGCCCGCAAAGAGTGGTGCCTTTGTGCCCTGTTCCTTGAAGGGAGAGATGTTACTTTGTTTTCCTTCTTTGAAAGGGGCAGGTCGTTCTAATGTTTCTTGTCTGTCTTCTTCCCCGGTCTAATTCTTAAACAGCCTCTTTATTTTTAACATTTGTGGTTTAATTTTCCTATCATGTTTTCAAGAGCTAATAAAATTCTGAAGCATACAGAAAATGTAATCCAGATGTCTGTCTAAGGCCACAGGAAAAAAGCATACGAGCAACTCAATTTTGCTCTAAATCTCTTTTGTTTCTACTTTCTTTTCCATTCTTTCATTTTTCCTGTTTTAGTTTTGGCAGCGTTGATGAACAACCAACTCAAACAGCAGCAATGAAGAAGATGGATCAAGTGATGAGCAGTGGGTTCTGACAGTCTCCATGACGCCTTGCAGCCAGACAGCTGTTCCACCTGGTTTCACCATAAAGCTTTGTCCCAAAGAAATCGGTAAGAACGAAACTCACACGAGCCTCCTGGGATAGTCGGTACATGGCTTAGAATGAAAACCTACAGCAAAACCAAAATTTTGTAAGCACCTGAAAATGTTGTGGTAAACTACTGTGCATCTGTTGCCAACAGCCAAGCTACAGTGTAATTCCATCATTAATTGTGTGTTGCCCACAATTCATAAATGATAATGAGATGTGCTATTCTTACTCTTCCTTTAGGAAGATGTTTTCTTCTAGGAGCGATCTTCATAAGTAGCTCTAGGTTTGATGCATCAATTCCACTCATATTTGGTTTGACCAGGCTTTCTGCTAGGCTCTTCAATTTCTCTGAAATGTCTAAGAACTGAGTTATAAAGTACAGAATTATTTCATTGATCCAAATAATTTTGAAGAAAGGTTAACATATTAAAGTTATATGGTCTTCGCTGATATTTGATTTTGTTAGAAAGGGACTGTGTGTAAGAAAGTGACATCTCTGTCTAAGCACAGCCAGCCTTTGTAAGCATGCCTACCTGTAATTATATGGGCACTGCATTGATTCCTTTATTTTCTCGCTCTCTTGAGTAGCAGCTTCATAAAATGAATAAAATGTATATTCCATCTTGAGAAAACAAATCTGTGATTTTGCAGATAAAATTTTTTTGAATGAAAATGATATGTCAGCATGTCCTCCAACCCTAAAGGCTAATTTATTCCCATCCTCTGCTGGCCTAGCCCAATTTATCCCTGCTGTTTCTTTTCCTATGGTTGACACCTGGGGAACATGATTTAAAAATGAAAGCTGATAAGGGAATTAGATTACCTGCCTCTTTATGCTTTGAGAATAGGCGTGCACAGCCTCATGTTACCAACGTTCTTTTTCTAAGGGATTAGAAAGAAAAATAAGAATGTAGGGTGGTTTTAGAATTCCAAAAGATTGTCAAGAAATAGTCAAAAGTGAATTTTGCTTACCAAGATTTTGGAAAACAAGCATAATCACAAACTAAATTTAAGTCCACATATCACCTCTTTCTTAGACCTGTTAAAGCAAGCAGTATTATTCCATGGGCAAAGGTAAAGCTACAAATTTCTCATGTATTTTCATTTAAAGGCCAGAGTTCTTTCACAAGGAATAAAAAGCAAGCCAAATGATGTTCTTCAAGTGTACTTAGATAGCATATGATCTATAATGGGATTCATATTATTATCCATAGTGAAATTTATGTGATGGCTTTCAGCCTCAACAAAAAGTCCACCTGGCTCGAAGTTCTTGTGCCTTTTGCTGTTGTATTTTATGAAGATGCTGGATAGCTGCATATAATTAGAATTTCAAACTGTCCAACAGAATTGGAGCTTCCCTGGCTGGAGACTGGTTCATCACTCTTTCCTATGAAGAGCTTTCCAGAAAAGGACCCTAACACCCCTGGCGATGATTTTCTCTGACAACATGTGTGGTGTGTGCTCTTCTTTGACCACATATCAACTCTCTATGTATCGCTGACAAAGTAGGTCTGGACAAATTTTCCTAAAAATGTGTGTTCTTGAACTAAAGTATGTAGAACAAAGATCCATACTAATAAATATATCTGTGGAAGGAACAAAGGGAGTCACTCTGAAGTCTTAAGGAGAAATCTTGCTATTCCCATTCCGAAAAAGGATCAGCCAGGTACAGAAGAACCAGGCTTGGCTGTCAGGAAGGCGTCTTGGTTCCCAAGCAGCTAAAAAGCAATTACATTCTGGAGCAATTTTATAACTAAATAAAAGTTTTTCAACCCTGATTTATTTTATCTTTGTCCCACTGCTTTAACTTCATTTTCCCCTGTCACTGGCCAATCACTTATTACCTTGCAAAAACAATTGGAGCACACAACTGAGTTCTGTGTTTGGAAAAGAAATTGCATGGGAAAAAAAGAAAAGTAGTGGAGTTTGGCTGTCACGGAACCTCATGATTTGTGACTTGGAAATCACAGAGCTACAAAGAAAGGTGCAGCTGGCTCGCTCCCAGTCATGGCCCACCTTGCCCAGGACACTGCCCAAAGTGATTATTTACAAAGTTCTCGGTTCCAGGAAGTAGGAAACCTCAAAGGGAGTACGTTTACATGAAATCTGTACAAATTTTCCTCTAGATCTACTTTTCCAATAAACAGGAGTGGTCGATTGGTATAGCAAATCCTATCTACTTATGATTAACAGCTAAATTGTCATGTTTCTCATAAGAAAACCCCACCAAATAAGCACCAAAACATTTATTGACACGTAAAAATATTATACGTTCTAACCTTTTGAACACAGATTTCATTTTCATTTGGTTTTTTTTTCCACCACTGGCATCAGCTGTTCTACAATGGTTTATTTCAAGGCTAATAAAAGACTGTAGAGTTATATATTTACACACTGCCTGTCTCTAGAATGCAGTGTCATTGTTTTAAGGACCTGCAGCTGTTTTTAATTTTTTCATCACTGTACTGGCCAACTGGCAATATTCCTCTTGATATATGGGCACCTTCCTCATTTCTGTTGGGCTCTGACAGAACCATTCTCTTCCTAACTGGCTACTTCTGATAGTCTGCGGTCTCAGAAACATGATTCCTAAACACACACACAGAAACTTTGGTGGGTTTGTTGTTGTTGTTGTTCACAATCATTTCTGACATAATCTAACATACAACCAAAAAATGGCATATTTTTGGTCTTTTAACTTGTGTACAATAGAAATACAAGTTTTGTGTGTGTGTGTGTGTGTGTGTGTGTGTGTGTGTGTTTCTCTGTGTGTGTGTATCGGCTTGTATTGGCCTGAGTATGTATATGTATATATGTATGTATTTATGTAGTTTATGAAGTTTAACTAGTTGACACTAGCAGAATTATAGTTTAAGTCTATAAACCAGAAATTATATGCTAAAATAATCATAATTTATTCAGAATCAGCCACTTTCATAACTGTCAATCTGATTAAATTTGTTGCCCATTGGGCTCCTGGTATAATTTTTTATTATTATTTTTATTTTACGTGTATAAGTGTTTTGTGTGCATGTATGCTAAGTGACAATGTGCATGCAGTGCCTGTTGAGGTCAGAAGAGGGTGTTGGAACTGGAGCTATGGATGGTTAGTTGCCATGTAGGTGCTGGGAGCAAAACTAAGTCCTCTGGAAAAGCAGCCCATGGTCCTGGCCCCTGGACACCTCCCCCACCCCTCCTGTATGCTCTTATATAGTTCCTCAACTTGAAGTTTCAGTCCTCATCTTGGTTCTTAACAGCTAACATCAAAAACTATTGAAAAGCAAGGATAAGCACTTCCAAAAATAAACAAAATTATCACCAGCTTAAGATAAGCATGACTATGTCAGATGGAATTTCTTCCTAGTAAATGGTCTTTGAAGCCATCAAGCAATCACCAGAACTGAGTTTGTCAATGATGTTTCTCCTATGTCCAAGAGGTACATCTCTATCCAACTGAGGGGCTAAAAATCAAACAGTGCTCAGCATGGGGGTAAGTTGGGAAATTCAGCCCCCATTTGAAAACTATCAGAGATAAAAATGTTAAAGTTGTTGAAAATAAGTTGAAACTAAGAATAAAGAGACACTGGATGTAGAGATTTCCATTGCCACTGAGAGAACTTGAGCTGCATGGTGGGGATGAGAACGTAACATCACACTTTCAATACAGGCCAAAGTCAAAGTCTGGATTCAGGCCACATTCAGAGCTAATGGTGTCTTTCTTCTGCAAGGTGAGTTCACAGACCCCTGCAGAGCTTGCTATCCTGGTGACCAACTCAGTCTCCCTCTCCTGCCCTGAGTGGACACTCCAGCCCGACTCTTCACTTCCCACATCCTGTGATTATCCTGTTGTAGTACTTTCTGCTCAACTGTTGTTATTACAAGCAAAAGATTCTCAGGCCTAAAAAATAGCTCATGTCACCAAAGCATTTTGGCAAAATAATGGTTTAGACATGGCAAATATTACAGTATTTTTTAAAGAAAATTCAAAGACTCATTCTAGTCATCTGTTTTTACTTCACCCCTATGAATGACGCTTTTTTACATTTCTTTCTCCCCTTCTATTTATTTATTTTTAAAGTTTCAATCTATTTTACATATATGAGTGTTTTGCCTACCTGTCTATAAGTGCACCCAGACACACAATGCGTGCAGAGGCCAGAAGGGGGCATCAGATCCCTTGGACTGGAGTTATAGATGGTTGTAAGCTGCCATGTGGATGCTGGGAACTGAACCAGGTCTTCTGCAAGGGCAGACAGTACTCTTAACCATGGAACCAACTCTCCAGCCCATTCTCTTTTATTTTTAAATTTTTAAGTTTTTTCCCCCCATGCCTAGTAGCAGAGGATGATCCTCGGTCTTCCTTTCTCCTTTCTCCACGTCCTGAGCACTGGGACTACAGGTGTGGGCAATGCAGCAAATGAAGCTGAAGGCTTTCTACCTGTTTGGTAAGCGCCCAGCCTTTACAATTTTATTTTTATCTCATGAACTGTTAAGCATTCTGCTCCCCTCTGGCCAGAGGGTGATTCCAGACACATCCTTCTGAAGGAAATGAGAAGGCTTGCACTGGCCATTGAAGTCATGCCAGAAGTTTGAGAACACACATCAGTAACTTCTAAGCTACGCCATGACTATCCCTGCCGAGCCGAGACAGCTGCTGTCCAAGCAGCTCCTTTCCTCTTCCTTCCAAATGAATACTAAAAGCTTGCTTTCCTTCTCGTTTCTGAAGATTTAATCAGCAACCTTATCTTGGCTCACAAGGGAAAGGTCTATCTGCCTCTTAGGTGCTTGACATCAACCTGAGCGAAGCTTTTACACATTCCAGACTGGTCATTGTTTCGGATGTGAGGAGGTGATGGCATCACCACTGATGGGAGAGGAGGTGCGGTGATTTCCAAACTCCCGAACACATGGGAGCACTCAGAACCGACTCTAATTCGGTTTGCTGTTTCTGTGGATTTCATGAGATCTGCCACAGACACTGAGATGCTCAGCCCACTTTTCTCCCGTCCCTCTCTCCTTGCTTCTAGCCCTTCATTCACCTACTAATTTGACTAAGATTTAGACACTAAATTTAAGGGCTTAAATTTAAACCCCAAATTTAGAGAATATCAATTTTCTCTAATGCCCCATTCGCTCATCAAACATTTACTAAGTAGAAAGTACACAAACTGAGGGAAATTGTTCGAGGATGTTGTACACTCAGCAGTAGGATAAAGAGATGGGGTCTGCTCCAGAGGACGTTTGAAAATAGGTGATTTGCCTAGCAGCTTTCTCTGACTTCATTTCCTCCTCCTACTTCTAAGTACTCACCCCTCTTTCTCACCAAATACTCCTAAGGAAATGACTATTTTCCCTAAAGCTTCTGTCCAATGTTAATCTCTTCAGACTGACATATTAGGCTCATCCGATTGCTCTCTCCTAGTGTTTGACTTCTTTTCGTCCTATTCACTTGCCTTTCCTTGGCATCGCCCTCTTTCAGTCCACTAACTATTTCTTCAGTGTGTTTGGTAGAGGGACAATTGTCAGTATGCAGTGGGATGTAGCTAAGATGTGTAGAAAGAAGAAAAAAGAATCACAAGCAGGACGGAGCGATTTACGTCAAATCGAGCCTGGATTTGCGGCGCCAGAGCTCCAGTTCCTGATCTCCCTGACTAACGAGGGGCAAGGTGGCGTTCAACACGTGCCAAGATTAGTGAATGCATCAGAAAGCAACAGTATCGAGAGAACAGCTTCGGAAATTTTCTATCTTTCTGCTCTTTTTGACTCTAAAGAAAGGAAGGCAAAAGAATGTGCCTCTAGGACTTACTGCATAGATGGAAACTGAGTGGAAAGGGGCCCCTCCCTTAGCCACAGTCCGTTTGTGTGAGGCCATCATCCTTTGTGTGATCAACTCCTTGTGTCCTTATTCATCTGCAGTCACTGTGCATTCCCTATTGCTGTTTAGGAGACTCTCTTCCCTAGATTCTGCTTTCTCTAACAACAGTCTTTCCACACCATCTCCCAGTATCCACCAGGGAGGGTTCCACCCAGGATGCCTTGACCCAGTAATGATTGAGGGGGTCCCTTCAGCCCCCAAGTTCTATTGACATTATTTTCTTCTCACTCATGTTGCTTCCCCTGGGTTGATCCCAGTGGATGTTGATACAACTAATTGTCTTAAAGTCCATATAAAAATGTGGAAATCGCATAGCACTTCCCAGATCCTTAGCAACAGAAGTGGCCAGGCATTGAGATAACTTGTGTATGGCACCAGTCACCACAAGGCCCATGAGAGGTATACACTAGTAGACACATTTCCTCCTATTGAACCCCAGAGAATGTTGGGTTCCCATATTTCCCTACCTTATCTTTAAATGCTTCTACTTGAAATAGATCAAGAAGATTAATGCAAAGGAACCAACAATATCTTATCTCTCAACAAAATATTTGGGCCCCTAGAATTAATCTCTGAACATAACATTAAAGAAACTAAAGGTACCCGCTCAAAAGTTTTAGGGTACTTTCATTTTAATTTCCTGTGAGTCTAGTTACCAGAAACGTTTAGGGAGCCAGCACACCAGCCTCCCTGGGACAAATGCAAATTATCACTGGTTCCACTGAATCGCAGGTCACTCTACTTTATCAAGATAAACAGAGGCAAATCCATCTCATTTCTCATTTCCCCCAATGGAATATTACTCACCAAATACAACATCTTGATTTATTTAAATATCCACTGCAGTCTGCCATTATTTTCTCTCCCATAGTTAGTGATTCTAGTTACACGTTAATGATATTTGCATTGATTACTAATGAAGAAGAAATTTAGTTTCTT